TGAACCCACATGGGATTCCCCTCTCATGTTCATTCACCACACTGTAGACCTCCATTGTCTAATACAGTAGCCATTATTTTGAAATGCTTCAATTAAAATTAAAAACTCAGCTAAGCTGACTAATCACATTTCAGATGTTCACTGGCCCTGATGTTCATTGGACATCTCCAGCAATACAAGAAGCTCTGAATTATCAGCTATTTAGTTGCTTAATTGAATCTTTTGTCCTATCATACCTAACTACAGGAGTGTTCTTTTTCATGAAAAAAACTAATGTATGTTTTTTATTAAATTAGATGCTTTATTTTCCAGAAGGAGTACTTACTGGAATGAGTTACTTAGAGTATGTGCTTTGTGAATGATAGTTTGGTTTGGTTTACTTATGGTTTGATTTCCACAGTTTGTTTTATTTTACTTTTCCTATCTGTGAGGCAGTATTTAGTGCTGGATAATCTTTTTTGCCTGGCCAAGTCTTGGCCTGTTCTTGTGGTATTTCCCTTAGTTCTGGTTTCTTTGTTTTTGCTTGTTTTGTTATCTTCTTGCTCTAGTGATAGCACTCATTAGACTTCATAATTTCCCTGGCTTGCATCTTGTTTGTTCATGTCTTTCTTTCTCTCCCTCCCTCCTTCTCTTCTCCCCCCCTTCTTTCCTCTTTTCCTCCTCATCCCTTCCTTTCACCTCCCTCCCTTTCCCCTCTCTCTCCTTCCCCTCTCTCCTACCTACCTACCTTCCTTCCCTCCCTCCCTCTCTTTCTCTTCCTTTTCACCCCGTCTCTGTCGTTAGAACTCACTAGTAGCCCAGGCTGGCACTGAACTCGTGAGCTACCTGTCTTCAGTTCATGAGTTCAGGGATTTACAGGCAAGTGCCATCCTGCCCTGTCTGAAGCTCAACTTCTTTTTTTTAATATATAATTTATTTTTATTTTATGTTCATTGATGCTGTGCCTGCATGTATGACTGTGTGAGGGAATCAGAAGCCCATAATTTGAGTTACAGAAAGGTGTGAGCTGCCATGTCGGTGCTGGGAATTGAACCCAGGCCTTCTAGAAGAGAAGCCAGTGCTCTAAACTGCTGAGCCATCTCTCCAGCCCCATGAATCTCAGCTTCTTAAGCTATGAAATTAAGTGAAATGGTAGCTGTGCCTGTAATTAGGACATTCAGGGTGAATGAATACAAAAGGAACTTGTGAATTTGGGGGAGAGGAAAGGACTTCCTAAATTTAAATCAGGAGTGATGAATTCAGTTACAATTTTCAGGAGTGAGAAAGTGCAAAAAGGGATAACCTTGAGTAAGTGTTTTTGAAGCTTTGAGGAGGCTGACTTTTGCAGTCATTGTGCTAAGAATGTGCCCCCTGGACCAGAGTCTCTGCCCAGGCAGATTGTCAATCCTTTGAAGGCTAAGATAGCTTTGGATGGGAGCAGTGAGTTATGCAGCTATTTGGACAGATTTGGGAGGTTGGAAAGCAGTATGTGCTCTTAACTGCTGAGCTATCTCTTCAACCCCCCTAGTTAAGTAAACAATTTCCACTTGCTCAGCTAAACTTCCTTTTTTTTTTTTTAAACAAAATTTTGCCAGGTGGTAGGTGGTAGCGTTTACCTTTAATCCCAACACTCAGGAGGCAGAGGCAGGCAGAACTCTTGAGTTTGAGGCCAGCCTGGTTTACAGAGAGTTCCAGGACAGCCAAGGCTACACAGAAAAACCCCGTCTCAAAAAACCAAAACCAAACTAAACAAACAATCATTTTCTTTATTTTTGGGAGAAGGTAGATTGAGAATAATATGAACTTTTCTTTTTCTGTTTTTTTTTTTTTTGGGGGGGGGTCTCAAGTTGACAAGCAAATAAGAGCATTTTTATAGTGGCATTACTACATGTTTGCATGTTGTGAATATTTTTAACAAGCATTTTTATTAGAAGGCATGGTAGACATGTTGACTACTAAATTCTGAATGGCAAATGTTAGGAGCATAGCTTAAGAGGTTTAGTCAAAATTAGAAGTATTTGAGAAGGGTTGAGGTCCAGCTATATTTACAAATGACTTTAAAAGTTAGTCAGGTCCCAATAAAAGGGGTAGGGATTTGGGGATTGGGGTGGCAGCGAGCAACAAGGAGATGGAAGGTGTTTTGTGTGCATGTGTGTGTGGTTTTCTGAGACAGGGTTTTCTCTGTGTAGCCTTGGGTGTACTGGAACTCGATCTGTAGACCAGGCTGACCTTGAACTGACAGATCTACCTGCCTCTGCATCCTGAGTGCTGGTATTCAAGGTGCGCACCACCCACCAGCTGGCAAAATTAAAGGTATTTGACACCATGTCCGACTGAAGCTGGAAATCTTATTTATGGTGAACATTTTACTGGGGACAGTCAATCAAGACACAACCATCTCAGTTGTGGTATCTAAGACCAGCTGTGACACCATTGGCAGTGTGACAGAGATTGGAAGGTAGCCATCTTAACTCCACTTGAGATCTTCCAGGTACGTTTCTGGGATCTATCTCTCAGAGTCTAGGCAGAAATCCTTCTAGTGGCTGCTAAGACTCTGACAATGGAGGATTCCCAACCTCTAGTCCCATTATCCTTAGTTCTTCACCTGCCTCAAGGTCTCCCAGTCCATGCTGAGCATTAGGGTTCCCTGCCAGAGCCTTGGTACGTGTTGGCCCACTTGCTCCTTTCTTTCTGAGCTCACTGTATTAACATGAGTCAGATACACTCTCCCTCAGTGCCAGATACTGGTTAAGGCTGCTTCCTAAGGGCAACATGTGGCTAAAATGGTCATTGAGACATGGTTGGAACATAGCACACTGGGAACCTATGCTCAGGCTCTCATTAACACAGGGTGACACAAGCTAGCTTTCCTCTGGTACTGGAAGGCACCTTTTTCTTTCTTGAAGCTCAGCACTTAAAATAGTTGGCTTGTGTTTGTTTATGGGGTTATGTTGTATGTAAAGGCCTGATGGTAGCTGGCATCACATACTGCTCTGTGAGATACTGGCAGGCAACCTCACATTTGTACATTGTACCCCTGACTTACTGGGGGAAATGGTGGACAGGGTGCCCCGTAATATTTCAAATTGTGCTTTGGTTTTTGGCTGAGTGCGAGTAGTTGTACTCTGTCGTATGTACCTTTTTTGTAGAACCTGCTATAGTTGTAAGTTCATGTAGGTGCTACCCTCAGGGCACAACTGTGTGGTTTGTGTTGTTAAGTTGTGGCACATAGCAGGTGCTGTCTAAATATTTGGAAAGCTACTTTTGCCCATTTGATGAAACTGAAGGCTTCTGTGGAGATTCTGAAAGCTGCAGATATTTTACTCATGTTTCATTTAAAACATACTTTTTAAATACAACACATTTGGTTGGGGATGTGGCTTAGTTGGTAGAGTCTTGCGTGGCATGGAGGAAGCCCTGTGTTTGATTCCCAGCACCTCATAAGACTGTGCATAGCAGTGCACACTTATAACCTTGACATTCGGGAGGTAGAGGCAAGAGGCTCAGAAGTTTCAAGCTCACCCTTAAGTAAGTACTGAGTTTGGTGCCACCCTGTGCTACATGAGACCCTGCCTCGCAACGAAAACCCAGAGACTACTCAAACATACTTTATGTTACATTTTGGCAGATTAGCTTACTAGTTCTGTCAAATTAACTTGTTTTACAGATCTTGAATAAAACAAAGAAATGAAAGACTTACTGCTTCCACACCTCTTTCCTTTATAACCACAGGAATAACAGTAAACCCCTAAAAGAAAACAAAGAAAGGAAGGAAGGAAGGAAGGAAGGAAGGAAGGAAGGAAGGAAGGAAGGAAGGAAGGAAGGAAGGAAGGAAGGAAGGAGAAAGAAAGAAAGAAAGAAAGAAAGAAAGAAAGAAAGAAAGAAAGAAAGAAAGAAAGGCAATTGCACTTGAATGGGCCCAGTGAGATAGAGTTAAATGCTTGGGCTTTGGAGTATTCTTCCATATTAATAGTTTAACTACTTTACTAGCTGTGTGATCTTGCATCATATGTGACCTCTCTCAATCCTATCGGCAGTGATAGAAAAAGGTATGATTAAATTTTTTTGTATTGCTGTAAAGAGACTCCATGACTAAGGCAACTTATAAAAGAAAGCGCTTAGTTGGGGGATTCCTTACAGTTTCAGAAGGTGAGTTCGCAACTATCATTGCGGGGAGCCCAGCAGGCAGGCAGGCAAGGCACTGGGCAGTAGGTGAGAGCTTATATCTGATCCATAGCAGAAGAAGAGAGAGCGAGACTAACTGGAATGGCTGGTCTTTTAAAACCTCAAAAACCATCTTCAGTGATATATCTCCTCCCACAAGGCCACACTTCCCAGGCTGTACCAAACAGTTCTATCTACTAGGACTAAGCATTCAAACATGTGAACCTTTGGGGGCTGCTCTCATTCAAACCACCACAGACAAGGAACGTAAGTAAATGGGTCACAGGGCATATGGCATACAGGGCTCTATCAGTGTTAGCTGCTGCTGGTTTATCCTTAATCCTAAAATGTCAGTATTTTAAAGAGTCTTACGTTTTAATTGACTGAATATCTAAGTTAAGGACTGTTATATGTAAGTTTCACAAAAATGCCTTTTCTTTTAAAAAGCGTGATGGTGGTGAGGGTGGTGTGGGCTATTGGTGGGACTAGAGAGATGGAACATTCTATAAGAGCACCTACCGCTCTTCAAGAGGACCTGAGTTCAATTCCTAGCACCTGTGTTAGGTGCAGCACAACTGCCTATAACTCTTCCATAGGTTCGGTGGAGTTGCTGGGATCGAGCTTCCTTTTCTGGCCTCTGCCATCACTCCCTCACACACAGCATGCACTCACAAAATAAATGCACACATACATAGAAACAGTAAGAAATATTTTTAAAGAGGTGTGTTTGTGTGTTGGCTTTCTAGTGAAGGTCTGCGTCTAGCAGTTTCTAAGTTTGAGTATTTTTAAAAATTGCCATTAAAGAACCTTTCTGTAAAATTGCCCCTTTACAGAGACTTTATTTTCTCATTCTACAGAAAGTTCCTGCACTCCTCTGATAAGCCTGGCACTGGTGAAACACCTTTGTGCGGTCATCTGAGTAAATATTCCAGCAGCCCTCGGAGGTAGGTACTGTTGTCCCTGCTGTTCCCATTTGGTTTCAGGTATTAAGTTCTCTCATTCTTGGGCTTGGTTGGTACTAGTAGCTTGCTCTTCCTACTGACACTGCTCTCATTCATGCATAGAAGATGTTGCAGGGAGATCCTTAG